GATAGATAGATAGATAGATAGATAGATAGATAGATAGATAGATAGATAGATAGATAGATAGATAGACAGACAGACAGATAGATAGATAGATAGATAGATAGATAGATAGATAGATAGATAGATAGATAGATAGATAGATAGATAGATAGCAGGCCCGTAACCAGCTATGAGGCCATGTTAATTTTTTCATGTTCAAAAATAAAATTTGTTCTTTGAATGACTAATTTGCTGTTAAACTCCTCATATGAATGTCTGCATGACATGTATAATTCAGTTTAGACAGTATGCAAGAATGTTTAGCGTCCCTGGTATGAAAAGGATCGCAGCGAGACGCTTACGGAGTGAACGAGTCTTCAGAGAGTTGTGAGGGCGTGGGCACAGCCTCCGTGTTAACAGATCCAACAATTATAAGCATTTTTGGCCTTGTCTTTTCACTTAATTTAAAACTTTATAAAGTTAATAAAGTAGGAAGTTGCAGTTTAGAGTCAGAGATGTCTGTATCTTATCTTATTGGATTGGAAATAATTTTGGTTTATTTGTATTTGTTTTAGTATCAATATCTGGCAACACTGCATCGCCTGCACTTAAACTGAAAGCAATCAAAAAAGCCCATGGACAGGTTTTTGCAGACAGGATAAGACATTCGGTAAGGGAAACACAAACATTATCATGTTATTATCTGTCATAAATGTTATCAATGCTGTCAAAAACAGTAGCATTTAACACTAGTACACTGTAAAAAAATCGGTGACATTTACGGTAAAATACTGGCAGCTGTGGTTGCCAGAACTTCACCGTTAAAAATATGGTAGCTACATTTTAGGTTTTACTGACTTAACTTAAATTCACAATAAAATACCGTATTTCATTAACTGATGTAATATTAATAAACCAACATATCGAAGTACTAATATCTGTTTTGATTGAACCATTGTAATGCATTGTAAAGCAAAATACTTTCTAACAGTATTTTACTGTAAGATTACATTAAATGTAATTACATTTATTCACCGTATATAGTATGGAAACTTACTGTTAACCAATTAACAGGTTTTAACTGTAGTATTTTTACAGTCTTTTACTGTTAAAATCACAATCATTTTTTACAGTGTACACACAGATCTGTAGCACAAAAGGGGTTACAAAATGAAATGAAATACGCAAAAACTAGCCACGAAGAAGTCTATGCCATGTCATTCAGTATAGTTACATTTTCACAAATCATGCATTACACTTTCATAAGAGCACTAGACAAAGTTATTGTAGTTATGTATTGTTGCAATAAACAACTGATAAAATTATCCACCCTTAAATATAGTAAAGTATTAACAAATTTTGATGCAATAAATAGGGTATGATTTAAAAATAATCATCCCTCCAAAACAGAGAAAACATCTATGTGTCTGTCTCCTTTAAAGTGTTTATAGTGTATATAATGAGTTGTATTTGTAGGGGTTATTATAACACAATTGCTTAACAGCAACCCCCATCACCCCCCATAGATAGATAGATAGATAGAGTAATTAATTTTGTTTATTCAATGATTGTGCATTCGATGGGATAATATCTTTAAAATATACTATACAGAGGACACCGGGGCTAGTTGTCACAGGGGCACTTAAATGTTTCTTAAAAGTTCTTAAATTGAAATATTTGAATAATGTGTGTGTGTGTGTGTGTGTGTGTGTGTGTGTGTGCGTGTCTGTGTATATAGAGAGAGAGAGAGAGAGAGAGAGAGAGAGAGAGAGAGAGGGAGAGAAAACATATTATTAACAATAATAATAATACATTAATAATACTAATAATACTAATAATAAATAATCGGCCAAAACAATGATCTAATATTTTTCGATGTAACCTTTTTAACATTTATACTGTTTCATACTGAGCTGAAAAGTCTAGAATAGTCTCTTTAATGGAAGGTTACATTATGACAACCTAAACCATATTCGCCGCTGTTGATAGAAAATGACAACGTGTTTAATGAACTTTATCTTTTTCCCGGGCAGTAACGGGCAGAAAATGTTAAGTAGCTATTCATTTATTTATTTATTATTTTTTTAGCCACAACTAAACTCTATAAAAAAACTACTTTTAAACATATTAATTTCGCCAAAAGTGTGACAACTAGCCCCGGTCTCTTCGATTTATAAATCTCTAAAGGCGCTTTTATTCACTTATTCACGTACATGCCGCGTCGTATCCAAGGGTCTCCGCACTCCATTCCAGTGATGGAGCTGGATTGCTCTCCGGGTTTTGCTCCCTCACTGCTCTATACATCGCGTCTCCTCACTCCTGCATTGCTGTAGCAGCAGATGTTCGCGCACTGAAGCCAATATCCACCGTACTCTTTACCGGAGCAAGTGTTCTGCAGCGGACAGCGAGAAGACGAAGAAGAGTGAGGACGTTTGCTCTCTCTCCTCACACGTCTGGAGTGTGTGTGTGTATGTGGGTGAGTGAGCTGAAGATATTAGAGTCGCGTCTTTATTTACCACACCTGTGATGCGCTGCTGTCTCTGAGCAACGAAGACGCACCGATGGCCAAGGTACAGGAAGAGGATATGTGTTGAAAGAGGACTTATAAATGCGCTGATCGGTGTAATATTACAAAAACTAAACCCAGACAGACAGCAGATACTCCTCGCAGCTCATTCAGCAGATATTACTGACTTAAACTTGAACGAGAAGGTGATAAAGATGCCGTTACACCTGGGTCCCTTTGTCCGCTGGAGATCCGGGCTTGTACTCACATGGATCTGCTTGTTTTCGTCCGGATTTGCCTTCATTGGTGAGCTTAATTCATTTTTAAACGCAACTTTCAGTTTCGACTGATAAAGTCATGTGCAAGCCATGCGTAATTGCTTTTACACACAGCAGCTGGCTCCCTTTGTGATGTGATTTATCGAATACTAACACAATATACTATTTCACGGGGTTCTTGTATGCGAAATAAGCAGTTTGGTTCAAATTGTCATATTATTGTTACTTTTAATAACCAGAACGCGCAGAAACGGAGGCGAAGAACCAATTCTGGAACTTGAACGTGCAGTAAGTTTGATTGACACGAGACTCTCACGGCGCGCCTGAGACATTACGGCGAAACGTTTCAACGAAACCAAGGGTTTGTTTAATTGGAAATTAGTAGAAATGTATACCATGGGGTTTAAACAAATACATATTGTTGAATATTACGCCTTGTATTCCGCGTTGCATTTCTGTGAGCGTCAGCTTGAATGAAGTAGCCTACTCGACACGCGCACATTTCTACGCGCCGACATTCATCCGTTCTTGCTGCATTGGCAGCGGTTTTGACAGCGGTACGAAGTACAGTGAGCTCCGACGGTCATTGAACGGCGCAGGGCACATTTGTTGTGTGCAGATATATAAGATGAGGTAGCCCAAACATGCATTGGTGGTCAGCTCAGTGGAAAAGAACGTGCACAAATAATCGTGCTCTCCTCCCATCACACATCTTGCACTCGTCTTGGTTAGCTAGTATAGCCTTACAAGGAAAGAAGTACATATTTACTATATGTTTAAAGCTTTTATAATTTTTAAACATTAAATTGATATTTTCATTATGAATACATTTGTTTTTTTTATAATTGTATTTATTTGCAGTGCCAGCAATGACACATTGTCAGTACTGGTTGCTCAAATAATGACTCCTTGTTATTACTCCCACAACAAGAATTAAGACAATAGAATTTCAGAAATGCCCAGCTTATGTGTTTTTACATAAGAATCAGTGTGGATATGCATATAAAGATTCATTAATGACACATTGTTAATGGCAGAAATTTCATATTGTGTTGCAAACCTTTGTTTGTGCTGTAGTTTTTTCCCCCCCAGCTTCATACTGTAAAAAGAATGTCGCTTATTATAACACCATAATAATGTCAAATAACACCTTAACCTGTTGTCCATGTCTGGACATAATTACAGTTACAGAATCACAGTCACCTAGTCCAGTGTTTCCCAACCAGTAGAGTGTGTAGCCCAGAGAGATTTAACTTTTTTTTTTTTTTGCTAAGCATGTAAAACTAAAATTCAAAGCTGTTTATAGATTAAACTAATGCATTTGATTGGCTCTTACGTGTTGTAATTTAAATAACCATTTAAATAATATTAGTAATAGCCTAAATATACCTTTTATACAGCACAATATCAGTTGAAAATAACTAATTTAGGGCTGCGGATGGTATGGATGAAAGGGTGCTGAAACCTTATTTGGCCTGTGGAGGTCCATAAAACAAAAAAGGTTGGGAAACACTGACCTAGTCCACCCACAATGTGTTTGTGTGGACCGTTTGGGCTTGCCGAGATCTGTATTACATTGTGCCAAGAGAGTAAGTAAAGTAAGGAAGGTTTTGGCTGTGGGAAACTTGACTGTGGGAAAGTTGTGTTGCGCTTCTGGAGGTTTTATAGTAATCATCACCATAGAGCCCAGCTGGGGACTGCTGATGAGTATCCTCAGAGCACCGTCAAAATTTCACACTTGACTTACATTGTTCTGCCCCCTCTCTGCTGTGGACAGAGGGCTAACTTATTAAAAGTTGTGTAATTGTCAGTCTTGCTTTAGAAAACTCTACATGAGAAAGCTAAATTAAGAGTATTTTCTTGTGCATTAATTAGAGAAGGATTTCACATAAATTAAGATGAGGTAAACAGTCATACCCAAGGGAATCATAGGAAATACAGTGGCATTTCCGAGGTTTTTAAACATCCGTTCAAATGGAGCATTTTTTTTAATAGATTGCAGGGCATCATATAAAATACCCTAAATTCCCCCCATCTTCGTATGCTCTTTTTAATTTGTCAAGGACACTTATCTTGCTTTGCTTCCAAATGAAAAAAGATCAGACAGGAACTTTCTTATTCTCCAGACTTGTAAGAGGAGGAAATGTAAATTGGATGGAGGGGAATAATGGAAGCATGTGTGCTCGCAGACATTGTTAGTCCAAAAGATCATAGAAGATCACACAAGGTGCTCTCGTCAGGAAGAAATGGGCTGACGGTGCATTTTCCTGTAAAAAAAAAAAAAAAAAAAGCAAACTTGTCTTTTCCCTGAAACATAATCCAGTCAAAAATAAAGGTCACCCTGTCAGTCTTCATCAAAGAGAACACAAGAGACACAGAGCTCTTCCACGAACAATGTGGTGCCTTCAGGGAGATCAGCTACCGTTGAGCCGACAGGAGGGTTTTCATCAGTCTGTAGACAAAAGGAGTCAGCACATTGTGTTTGTGATGTGTGTGCATGTGTGTGTGTTTCTTACTATAGCCTTTGTCAGTGACTCTGTTGGTTTTGCTTCAGGATTTTATATTGACCCAGTACAGTACTAAAATTATTTATTGTATTATTTAGGCTAGACTTTTTAAATTACAATGAACTGCATACTGACATAGTAATATACAAAAGTATTATGACAAAACTTGTATGAAAAAGCAAACAAACGATGATTAGACGCACAGGCTTTGACGTCAATAGCAAAAGATATGGAAACGCTATTTTTCCATTTTACATGTTAATAAGCCTCAATTTTGCTATCCTTAATAAAGATTATGTGGTTTATTGCATTTTCATATCAGCATTGAGCATTTGTTTTCACCTGTTGTCCGTGGTCTTATAAGAACAGACCTGCAATCCTGCAACCTTATATTTTAGTTTTTGTATTTAGTGTGTCATACAATTTAGTGTCAAAAAGAAGAAAGAAAAAAATGAAAAGCACACACACAGGTCAAACATGGCAAATCGTATATCCAGGAATGTATTTAAGCTGCATACCTGCATACCTACACAACTTTAATTCAGTGCACACTCTGGAAGTACAGGAATCAGTTTTTCAATCAACACAACCCTGCAGTAAAGTATGGCTTCTTGTTTGTTCCCATCTCTTTGGAAAAGGAGTGATATAATGGGCTTGCTGTTTTCGCTGTGTGTGTGAGAAAGAGGCAGGGGATTTTTGTGGTTGGAGTTTGTGGTGGGCTTGTTTCAGAGATTTTTGGCACTGCTCTGAGTGTGCTTGGTTGTTCACTGAACGGGATGTGTTTTGGGGTGCAGTGAAACTCAAAAGCTTTCTTATATGGTTAAGAAGCTTCTCAAAGGACTCTAGAAATGTGATTTTACTTTCATCATTTGGATTATTGCAATTAGGGTGAAGCTAGCGTTTTGGCTTTCTCACCTTTTTGTTGTTGAGGGGAAATTATTTTAACACGAATTGAACATTATTTATGCCTTTCACTAAGCCATACCAGATTTTCACTGTATGTGGTATTTGCAGGGTGTTTTTATGTTGATGTGCATGTCAAAAAAAAAAAGAAACAGAAATGAGGAAAAATATTTTTTGCCCTTCTACTGGTAAGCTATAAAATCAAATGATGCATGTAAAGAGAAGACTCTGCTGTTATGTCGGGCTCTTGATGCTAAGCAATGACTTTTCAGGATGTACAAGAACTGAAAGAATCAAGCAATAAAGAATTTCAGAGAAAAATGGACGATTTGAACAGATTAATGTCTGAGAGAAGATTTATTTGGAGTCGCAGCAAGCGCTTGGAAGCGGAACATGATTAAATCCGTTTTTGTTGTGTTTCGTTTTACTCGACACCGGCCACATTGCAATTTCACAACAATCTTAACATGTTTTTTTTTTTTAAATCAACAATATATTTCTCTTGCTCTCACAGTTTCCACACATATATAATATATGTATAACCGTATTTGAGTTTGATGAACGGAGAGGCGTGAAATGGTGTAACAGAGATGAGGAAAAGGGAAACCGTCAACAGCAGCTGACTTTCCATAATCCAAGAGCATGCTCCATTTGATGACAAATGTGGTCTTTTCTTATCTCACGCTGCTATATATGTCTTCTCCGTAAGTGTCAAATGCAAATGGAAAAGGAGAGGCGAGGCAGAGAACATGTGACATGAAACTTTGGGGTGGGGGAAGTCTCCTATCAGACTGCATCAGATCTCGGAAATGTGCCCTTTCACTTGCACGTGTAGACTACTAATAATGGGGTGGAGTCGGGGCTTTGGGTGGGCCTTTAGCTTTTTGAAATTGCCATTGTGCCATCCAAGGGGTCAAGGTTTGGCTGGTTAGCATGCAAAAAGCACATTTTTCCATTAATGAACATTTAAAATGAACTATCATAATAGTTTTTTTTGCAAACAGCATCTATATTGCTGATATTATACTATAGTAGATGTCTTACCAGTACTCAGTTCAGTTTTGGATGGTCTTAAAAATGTGAAATGGTCTTATGTTTTTCCTTGTCTCTTGTCTTTCTCAATTATAGTTCAGGATAGTCTCTAGCAGGTATTGTAGACCATAGATATTGATCTAGAGATGATAAACTGAATCTTATGAATATCATCTTCATCTGTTGACGATATAGACTTCAGATAGACTTTGCTTATGGACCAACTATGACGTTCCAGTATGGTGGACGGCTTAAATATATTGCATACAGAAATAGTTGCTAATGAGGAATTCTATGCTGTAGTACAATCTATGTTGTAGGCCCCTTTCGTCCCTTCCTAGGCTTCAGCACCTGCTCCCTCCTGCAAGCAGCATGCAGGCGATGTCCTTCAGAAAGGATGCGGTCAGCAGGAGGAACCAAAGATCAGCGCTGTCACCAGAGAGACTAATCGTGTTCTTCCCCCGAGGTGCTGTCAGTGGCCAGAGAAAGCTGGAGTACTGTTGACCTTGAGAGCAGATGCATTTAATGTGCAGACACTGCTTCTCAGCACAATGTGAGCACTAGAGTCTATGAAAGCCTTGGGTGA